GCGATATGGGAGGCAGTCAGGGCCTGGAGCCGACGGCGAGGTGCGAGCCAGGAAGGAGCGGATCTGTCTCTTGGTCGGCGCGCCCACGCCGATGGCGGCGCCCAGCGGCATGTGCTCGGAGATGCACTGCGAGACCTTGTCGGCATCGACGAGCTTGCGCGCGAAGACGGGCTTCCAGTAGGTGCGAAGGGCGTCCGCCATATCGCAGCTCTCTCTGGCGACCCCAGGGGGGCCATCAGGGCCCGAGATTCTGATTCCCCGGAGGACCATACGACGCTTTCAGGGGGCCCAAAGGAGAGCCCGCCTCTGCGAGGCGCGCAGGATTCGACGGAGTTTCTCGGGCTCGAGGGCCCCTGCCGCGCCAGGGGGGCGCTGGGCAGCTCTTTGTGCCAGAGAGCGTTGCCGAGCCTCGAAGTCGCGGTGCAGCGCGGCTGTCATGGCAGCGAACTCGGGCTGGTTGACGATCGCGATGAGGCCGTCGGTAATCGAGAGGTGCTCGGCGCCAAGCTCGGTGGTAGACTGGAGACGACGGGCGAGAGCCACGTCTTGGCGCCAGACCGCGCGTGAGAACGAACGCGCCGTGAGGACGCGGCCGTCGGCATTGTTGGGTTTGTTGCCGCCCCCGGTGGAGCTGACCCAGTCGTCGCGGACAAGCCTCGCAGCCTCGACCATGAGGCGCTTGTGCGAGCGCCAGCGGTTCTGGATGGGGACGTGATGAGTCTTGGTGTGGGTGATCAGCTGGTCCAGGTACTTGGCGTAGTTCGGGTCGCGGAAGATCGCCGGGGGGATCGCCTGGTCGTCCGACGGCGTGCGCGGCTTGATGCCGATGGTGTAGGAGATGATCGCGCGGTCGCTGAGGAAGGAGTCTGATAGGATGGCAGGATCGTGTACGATGCTGAGCTGCGATGTGAGCTCGAGCATGGCATGGGACGGCAAGCTGATGAAAACGCGGTCGATCGCTGAGGCGGAGAAGTCAGACTTGTTGAAGCGGGTCGGTAAGTCGGATTCGATTTCGAGCATGGTGTCGAAGAGTGCTTTCCAGAAAGGCTGCTGCTGGCGGGTGCTGTTGTCCAGCGCAAGGCGTGCGCGCTGAGGCTGGGGCTGCAGGAAGCTGTTCGGCGGGCGGCTGGCAGTATTGAAGTCCCCCATGGCGATGAAAGTGCGGCGCTGGTAGTCGGCCTCGGCCCAGGAGCGATGCTGATGCCAAGCGCGTTGTGCTCGGTCGCGGCCGCGAGCGTCGATCTCGTGGCTATGGACGTTCATGATGACGATGGAGTTGTTCGTGACAGCATTGGTGACGGTGACGGTCTTGATGCGGCCCTTGACGATCTCCTCGTGGTCGAAGGTAGGCAATTGGTGTGGAGCGAGCTGCTCGAGCTGCATGGGCGTGAGCCAGGGCACCAACGTAGCAACTCCGCCAGTGCCAGGTCGGGCCTCGTCGTCATCGCTGCCGACGAACTCGGAGAAAAAGAGCTTGTACGGGCACGGCTGCGTGTCCACCCACGTGCGGAGCAGGGCCTCCGAGCCGTGGACCTCCTGGAGGAGGATGGCGCAGTGGCGGCGCATGCACTTAGTCAGGGCAGCTTGCTTGCGGCGGCGGCGCTGGCGCTTGTGGCACATAAGGGCTCTGGCATTCCACGTGATGAAGGTGCTGGGGGCGGGGTCCTCGGTCGGTCGCCACGGCGACCAGGGGCGGCTAAACCCGCCACGTTGCTGAGGCAGTGTCCGCGAAGAGCGCCTGGAACGCGGCGAGGACGCCACCGCGATCCACTTCGTTGAAGTGGTGGCCTTCGAACGCGCGCTCGTTCCATTCGAGGATGGCGGGGTCGGCCTGGCCCTTGACGTCGAGGCGGACAACGGGCATGGCGTTGCAGTGGATCTCGCCCTTGGCACGGATGGCCCTCCAAGGCTTGTCGGGGCATCGGTGCTGGAGCAGTTGCAGGAGCTTCTTGCACTGGGTCTCGGTGCGGATCTGCTTGGGGGACTTGTCGGGATTGAGGTAGATACCCACTCGGGCGCCTGTCGTGTCGGTGGACTCAAAGCGTTTCCACCTGCCGGCAGGATCTCGAAGGGCGCGTGAAAGAGCGAGAGCTCGCGGGATTGCGGCTGCACGATCACCTTTGACTTGAAGAAGGAAGCGTCTGGGCGGCTCGTCGCCCAGCAGCTCCACGGCGTTGCGGTCCACGTTGGCAGAGGCGATCCACTCCTGCAGGTCGTTGAGCAATATTTCGGGCGCGATGAGGCGCCGGCAGCCAATGGAGAAGATGGTCGGGTCGGGGGCGCGGTCCCAGTCAGCGAGCTCGGTGAGGTCCGTGAGGGGCGCCTGAGCTTCTGCGAGCGCGAGCGTGTCGTGCATCTGACCGATCTGCTGCCACATCCTCTTCTGCTCGTCGGCTTGGCGGTCTTGTTCACGGCGTGTGCGGGCGACTGCATCATGTAGGGCATCCACTCGGCGTTCGGTAGCAATGACTTGTTGTGCGAGAATTTGACGAAAGCTTTCTCGTGACTCATCGAGTAGAGCGTTGGCCTGGGCTTGGAAGGTGGCGGCGGCGTGTTCGACTTGAGTCTGTATGACTTGTTGAAGAGCGGCTTCGACATCAGGAGACAGACCTGGGATGCTTGGGAACGATCCAGGCGTGGCTGTTCCTCCCGCGGCTGCGATGGAAGCTGGTATGTCTCCGCTATGAAGGTCGGCGGCGGCTCCGACGGCGGACGCTCATCCAGCGGCTTGTTGGCCACGCCAAGGGCCACGAGCTCCTGCCAGTGGATCTGCACGCTGATGTCCTCCTGCTGCTGGCGCTGCCTCGACTGCATGTAGTTGGGGGGGCGATGCATCCCATTGTCCATCGCGTAGTTGCTCGGAGGTAGCCGCTGCGTGGCGAGCAGCATCACCGCGGTGTGGAAGGTCGTCGGCATCCATCGCAAACGTTGGCGGAGTAGACGGGCGCGCTGACGAGCGACCAGGCCGCGAAGGCGGCGCAGATGCTCTCCCTGAAGCCCGAACGAGTTGCGAGGCGACGCCAGCTTCTCCCATGGCGTCGAGTGTGACCCTGGCGGCGGTGGCACGGGAACCTTTATCATCTCGGTCTTTACCTTGGCGTCCACGACGGCGTTCTTTCCTTCTGCGCGAAGGTGCGCTGCGATACGTAGATCTATCTTCACTGCTTGACGACATGGTTGCAATAGGTTGGGCAAGTCCAGGAAGTGGCTGCTGTACTGCTGTCCAAATGTCCAGGGCGGCTGCGGTGCCAATACGTGGTTGGCGGAGAAGCTGCTGGCTGACCTCGATGCGGGCAACGCTCTCGACGGGAATGATGTGCTCGGAGCTAGGCTCGACGGCGGATATGTCGTGCACGGAGCTTGGCTCAACGGCGGATATGTAGTGCTCGGAGCTGGGCTCGACGGGCGATATGAAATGCTCGGAGCTGGGCTCGGACGAGCTGATATGAACGGCAGCCTGCAATGCCAGGGTGAGAAGCAGGAAGAGCTGTGGGCAGCCGCAAGCCCGTGGTTGTGGCGGCAAAAGCTGGGGGTCTGTCCGCGGACTAGCGGTATCCATGAAGGACGCCGCAGGCATCATCATCTTGAGCCCAAATGGCTACGGATGGAGGAGGAGGAGGAGGAGGAGGAGGAAGCGGATTGAGGAGGAGGATTATGTTGCTCCCATCGCACTTAAAGACCACATCCCATAATCAATTTCGAGCACACGAAAGAGTGTCGAAAGAATTTCGAAACAATGTCGGACGAGTGTCTCCCGGGGACCGACACGTGAAAACCCTCGAGTTTCGATACTTTGCTGGTGCTCGAAATTCTTTCTGGTGATCAAGGCTAAAGCAGGTTGGAACATCAAAAGAGGAGGAGGAGAAGGAGAAGGAGGAGGAGGATGAGAAGGTGAATCGGGAGGAGGCAGAGGAGGCGGATCGAGGAGGAGGAAGAGGAGGCGGAGGAAGCGGAGGGAGAGGAGGCGGAGGAGGCGGAGGGAGGAGGAAGACGGAAGAAGGGGACAGGAGGGTAAAGAAGAGAGAAGCTGTAAGGGGGTGTTATGAAGACATGTGTGATGATGGTGACGAAGAGACTGTCGTGGTGGAGGTCGGAGAGAGAAGCTGGGGAGACCGCTACCAACGCCCTACCCTTTCCTCATTTGCGCATTCTTGAGCCTCCTGGGAGGCCCTCGTCTGGATTCGTCCCGAAGTCCTGGTCAGAACGCGCCTCAGGGAGAGGTCTGGGGAAAATGGTGAGAACACTGGTTAAGGTTGGGTAAGGAATCCAGGGTCTGTAAGCCGGTGGAACTCCCATCGTGGATCGGCCATGGACATCGCCGCCCCCCTCCTCAGATGTGGCACTCTCCAGGGCCTGAAGCCTCCTGGGCTCATTCCTTGACGCCCCCACCATACCCGTCGGGTGGAAGAAGTGGGCAGAAGCATGAAGTAGGAGGGCGTTAAAAGTAGATGTGGTCTCCGCCCTCGCCCTGCAGATGGCGGAAAAGGGAAAACCGCCAGACTCTGGAAGCAGGAGGGCGCCTAAAGTAGATTGGGACCTGGATCTCCAAAAATACGTACTCCAGATTTCGTAAAAAAGGAAGGGGGTCTGGACCCTCCAAGACAAGCCATTTCAGACCCCCCCCCGCGGGAGAACCCTCCAAAACATCGTCCCCAGACCCCCCCAGGCCCTCCAAGATAGCCTGGAAGAGACCCCCCCCGAAATGAACCCCCCCTCCCTTTATTACGAAATCAGGGGTACTTTGAACGAGCGCTGTGTTGCGATATCGGTTCGGGGAGACGTGAGACTCGGGATCGGGGGACTCGGGTTGGCCTGACGGGGCAATCACAGAAATGACGAGACTCCGTCTGAAATGTGACGCGCACTCCCGCTGCAAACATCCCGCGACAGCTGGACCGTCGAAATCCAGGACGCGCTCGTCAGAGAGCGTGGGCAAGTCCGAGTTCCGGCGTACTCGAGTCTTACGTTTCCCCGATCGGGATGTCTTGGCTTCCCCGGGCCTTTCCCACCAAATCCCGAGGCGCTGGGCACTCGGGTGGCCCGGAGGAGAAGAGCGCGTCGCCGAAGCGCCTGGAGCGGGCGCCCTGGAGGTGGCAGTGGCGGGCCGGTCTCCAGTAGGAGTAGTGCGCGCAGCCGTCCACCCTGGCGCACCTCTCGCCGTCGCTCGGACGCCCGTTCTCCGGGCGTTGCTCGGTTTCACGCTTGTTTTGCTTCTTTGCTCGATGATCCTGGATGCTCCTCGATGGTCCAAGATGCTCTTCGATGGTACTCGCCGAGAAGAAAAGCACACGTCCGAGCGACGACAAGACCTTTTGAATGGGGCCGGGGACACACAAATGAACAGACACAACATCCCAGGATGTGTCCCTATGTTTGCACATGTTCTGGATGTTCGTCTTACCCTATTGTTTCTCCATATCTTCTTGGAGATCGACGTCTATTTCTGGCTGTTTTTGTTCGCTCCTGACCTCTGCTGGCACTCTCGCTCGTTGGCCACGCGCTTGAGGGGATGGCCCACCTCACAAGCGGCCGAACATATCCGCATCCGTGCCATGGCGATCGGGATTTCGGGGCGCGATGCCGCGGATACGCGATCACACGGACACGTTCGCCGCCGGCCATCCGCGAAAATACGTTCCCTGTCCGCGGGGTCGCGGCCCAGCGGCCCGGCCCGCGAGGCCGAGGATACGGATATGTTCTTCGCACACGAGCACCATGTCCAACGGGAGGTAGGCCGAGTTAATCTTGGAGCACGCGGGCTCGGTGGAGCCGGAGGTACTCTGCGTGGACGTCGGCTGAAAGGTCGTGGACGTGGTCGCTCTCGTGGACGTCGGTGCCCCCGTGGTCGTAGTCGCTTTCGTTGTTGACGTTTTGTTAGCTGCAGAGACTGCTTCGGCCTTGCTGATGTCGGCGCCCAGACCAGTCGCGTCCGCCATCGATGCCGGCGGCGGCCGTGTGTGTCTCGTACTTGTTGCCGTCGCAACCGCTGTCTGGGTACTGATTGTTGTCTGACTGCTCGTTTCGCTTGTCGGCGATGCAGTGGTGGAAATGATGCTTACTGTCGTGTTTGTGTCCGTGGTGGTAGTGCTCGCTGTGGTGCCAGTTCGGGTCACGGTGGACTCTGTGACGGAGCTGGACGAAGATGTCACCAGACTCGTTCTAGAATGTGTCACTGATGTTGTGCTCCTCGTAGCAGGCTGTTTGGCCGACTTTGACGACTTTTCTTCAGCCTTCTTTGTGCGAGTTGTCGTCGCAACGCTTGCATTCCCCGTCGACGCTCTGGGGCCGGTCGAGGTTGGGCCCGCTGTGCTACCTGCGTGTGTAGAGATGCTGCTATTTTGGGCACTCGTCTGTGATGGCCTGGCGGTGGTCTTAAAAGCTGTCGCTGATGTTTTGTTCTTCGACGTAGGATGTTGGGCAGGGCGTCGCGACTTCTCTTCGGCCTTCTGTGTGCTTGTGGTCGTCGGGTGCCTTGCGCTCCTTGCCGACGCACTGGTGACCGTCGCGGTGGTGCTCGATGTGCTACTCGCTCGCGTGGTGTTGCTGCTCTCCGAAACATCCGTTTGCGAGGCACCCATCGTAAAGGTAGACGAGAGCGCTGCCGAAGTCGTCCGCGTGGTCGCACTCGTCGAGCTCCGCGAAGAGGTCGGGGGCTCCGAGGAGCGCGTCCGCGAAGCCGTCGTCGTTGGGGCGCGCTGCTCACTGGTTGCCGCCGGCTGCTGACCTGTGAGCGACAGGTTCGCCACCCCGCTCTTCCCGCAGCCAAGGTGGTGGTGCTCGCAGCACCACTCCTGTGGGGAGGGGGGCGATGCGTGGGTGGGACACGTCGAGCTGGAATCGGCGGCACGTCGCCGACAGATCGGCGATCGGCCCGCGACTGCAAAACACGGCGTTGCTGGGCGGGGTGGGCTAGGGCCCCTATCGTCGATGGGTGGGCAATTGGGGGTCGATTCGCCCTCCCCTGTGGTTGCCTCCTGGCCTCCTGTGGTTGCCTCCTGGCCTCCAGGTCATCATTCGGCCCTCGGGCGACTGGTCGGCACGATCCGGGCAACCCCTGCACGCTCTCGGCGATGCGTAGCTGCTGGAAAGACCATGAAGTTGGAAGACCGAAGAGAACCGACGAGAACGTCAGAAAATCTCAGCCCCGAACCTATCGATGCCCCTGATCCTGCTTCTGATCGTCCCAGGAGCTGCGCCACGTCAGCACGCCGATCGCACAGTCGTAGGGCTCCTCCGACCCCCCCTCCCCCTCGCTCAGCTCGGGGCAGTGCTTCGACAGGTGCAGGCAGCACCACGCGATCTCGGCTGCGTCCAGGCCGGCGGGGTCCTCGTTCTCGCCGCACTCGTACGGCTCGCACCCCACGTGCTCGCTGCTGCAGCACCACTCCTCTGGGCGGCGCGCCCACGGGGGCAGGCAGAGGGGGCGGGCCCTCTCGGAAGGCTCGGAAGGCACCGGGCCTTCTGAGCAGCTCTCCTTGCCGTCGCTCGGACGTCCTCGATGGTTCTCGCCGAGAAAAGATGCACACGTCCGAGCGATGCCAAGTCTCTGCAGGTCACGGAGGGATGTGCGGAAGGCCGGCGGGCTCTTCTGAGAAGGCCTGCCTACCTCTCACTTCCCCCCCTCGGCGCGCCGCCGATCCTTCTTCTCGGGGTCCCAGCTCTGCTCCCACGTCTCGAGGTCCAGCGCGCAGTCGTAGATCTGGACCTCCCCCTGGGGTGCCGAGGCCGCGCACGGGCCGCCGTAGTTCTTGCAGCACCACTCCTTCCTCGGCTCCGTCCACCCCGTCTCCCAGTCGGCGAAGTCGGCGTGGCAATCGTAGGGCTCGGCGGGCGCTGTGCTCGTCTCGCCCTCGCCCGGGGGGGGCGTCGACGACTTGGCGGTGCCGAAGGTGGCGTCCAGGCGGCTGCCCTCTTTTGCCGGAGCCCCGCCGCCCTCGCTGGGGCAGTGCATCTCGTCCGACCCGTCCGCACAGTCTCTCCTGCCGTCGCAGTAGGACGAGATGGGGAGGCACTTGCCGTTGAAGCACCTCGGGGGCCACAGGTGGGCGCGATCCCTCGACTCCAGTCCACCCCACTTTTCAGGATTGCTGGGTGGAGAGGGGGGAGGAGGAAGGAGGTTGGATGAAGTAGAAGCGGGTTGAGGAGGGAGCAAGGAGGAAGAGAAGCGGCAAGAAGAGGTAGCTGGACAATGAGAGGAGGAGAACGGAGGCGGAAGAAGGCATGAGAGAAGAGAAGGAAGAGGGAGTAAGGAGGAACAGGGAGGTGGAGAAGAATGAGGTTGGAGGGGGGAGAGACGATAGAGAGAAAGGATAGATAAGGGAGGAGGGGAGGGAGGAGGGAGGAGGAAGAGGAGGACGCCGTCTCTTCTTCCCGCCTGCACTGTCTCCCCACCAGTGAGGAGGCCCATAATGCGCGTTAGGTCCCCCCACGCCTGAACTCGGCCGTATTGAGCTGACCCGGCCAGAGGGCGCAGTCCGCGCCGCATGTGTAGGTGTTGAAGCTCTCCTCTCGAACAGGAGGGGGGGGGCGGCGAGAAGGGGGGGTGGAGCATAGGGAGAGGGCTTCCTGCTCATGGGCCTCCTTTTCCTTTCTCCTCCTCCCGCCACATCCTTCTCATTACCTCTCCGTGCTTGGTTTGTGTATGCTCATCTTCATAAAACATATGCGAATCTGCAACATGTATGAGCGTGGATGCCCAACCACACACACACACATGTATGTAGATCTGCCTCGAACAATGTGTACACGTAAGCCAGCGTGGACCCCAAACAGTGCGTTGTTGCACTGTGGAGGTGAAAGCTATGCGGTGTAGGCTATGTCGTGTAAGCTATGTCGTGGAAGCTATGTGGCGCAAGATGCGGAGGTGGAACACAATACAGCGGTGTAAGCGATGTGGTGCAAATTATGTCGCGTGAGCCAAGCGGTGTGAGCTGGAGGTGGAGAGCCATAATGAGTGTTTCGTGTAAGCTGTATTGTGCAAGCTATGCGGTGTCGGCCATGCCCACGAGGCGGCACGAGCGGCAACGCAGCGCAACTTCGGCATGCCCCCCCGAACGCTGGGCGCCCACGAGGCGCCCGCGAGGCGGTACGAGCCCGCGACGTGGCCCAGACCCGGACTAGCCGCCCAGGTGCTCCAGGAGAAGGAATGAGAACCCCCAAGTGCAAGCACTGGTTGGGGAATGCGTCTCTCCCACCTCCCCCCCGCTCTTCCCCCTCCTCCCACATCCCGCCTTAAAACTCCAACTCCGGCGATTGCGCAGCGGGAGGAGGAGCCGGCGGGATGTAAGAGTTGTGGGGATTGCGGGGGCTGTTCGGGTCTTGGGGTTGCGCGGTCTGGGGTTTGCGGGGCCTGGGGGTTGCGGACAGAAAGGCCCACAGCCAACCGCCTCCTGGTGCAACGCTCCAGAAGGCCAGAAATCAGGCAAGCAAAGGCGTCCAACAACCTCGATTCTGCTGCTACTGCTCCTCCTGCTCGGTGATTGGTGCTGCCATGGGGCGGATCCGTCAATGATACCTAGGGGCCCTCTCTCTGCGGCCTCCGCCTGGGAAGGACGTCGTGGGGAACAAACCAACAAATTTTGCGAAGGACCCAACCATATTGTGAATACCGCGTTGTGGTTACTGGTTTCGGTGGAGCTCCCCATGGGGCCACGAAGCGCGCGAGGGGTGTGCCGTAATGGTGGTGGGGTGCCAAAATGCAACATGGAGACGCATGCGGACCCTGCCACTGGGCTCTCGGTGGAGCTCCCCATGGGGCCACGAAGCGCGCGAGGGGTGTGCCGTAATGGTGGTGGGGTGCCAAAACTGAACATGGAGACGCATGCGAACCCTGCCACTGGGCTCTCGGTGGAGCTCCCGATTGGGCCACGAAGCGTGTGAGGGGGTGCCGAAATGGTCGGGGAACCGCATGCGAACCCTGCTACCCTCACACGTTTCGTGCCCCGTCCATTTCGGCACACGTTTCGTGGCCTCATAGAGAGCTTCACCGAAGGCCCCAGTGGCAGGCTTTGCATGTGGTTCCCCGCGCACCGTCATACCCCTCATGCGTTTCGTGGATGGTGAGGGGTGTGCCGAAAGCAGGGAACCGCATGCGAACCCTAATACAGAAGCCTTCGGAGCAGCTCCCTGTGGGGCCACGTAACGTGTGTGAGGGGTGTGCCGACACGGGCGGGGAACCGCGTGGAAACCCTGTCACTGGGGCCTTTGGTGGAGCGCCCAATGGGGCCACGAAACGCGTGAGGGTGTGCCGAAATGGGCGGGAACCACATGCGAAGCATGCCAGTGGGGCCTTCGGTGGTGTTGTTTATGGGGCCGCGAAGCGTGCGCCGAAATGGGCGGGGAACCGCATGCGAACCCTGCCATTGGGGCCTTCGGTGGAGCTTCCTATGGGGCCACGAAGCGTGTGAGGGGAGGGGGTGTGCCAAAATGGGCGGGGGGCCACATGCGAACCCTGCTACACTCACACGTGTCGTGCTCCTTTAGGGAGCTCCACCGAAGGCCACAGCGGCAGGATCCACATGCGTCCCCCCGTCCAGTTTCGGCACCCCACCACCATGATGGCACATCCCTCGCGAGCGTCGTGGCTCCGTAGGGAGCTCCACCGAAACCGGTAGCCACAAAGCGGTATTCACAAGTACATATGGTTGGGTCCTCCGCCTGGATTTGTTTCTTCGGGGGGGTCCGAAGCTGGCTTGAGGCACTACTGCGCCTTCGGAGCCCTGGACATCCTTGCCAGACTATCCTGGATGATCCCCTCCTGGCGGGGTGGGGTGGGGTTGATGGCCAGCGAAGGAAAGGTTCACTCGAGGGTGGAACATCGACCAAGGCAGCCACCTACACGCCCCACCTGCTCACCTCCCCCTTTGTAGGCCACGAGGCCAGAGCTTCCGTTCACCCACCCATCAACGCGCTCACAGGTGGTGACGCCCCGCCCGTGTCCCAACTGACAACTATGATGATCCTCCTCCTCCTCCTCCTCCTCCTCCTCCTCCTCCTCGTCCTTCTCGTGCTCCTCCTTCTCCTCCTCCTCTTCCTCCTTCTTCCCTGGTGCAGCAAAAAGGTACTGATACCGCTGCTCTCCAGACCTCTCCCGGGGTGCATTCTGACTAACATTTCAAAGAGAACTCATCCCTAGCGATCCTGAACGAGCAGCAGTATCGGCATCGTTTCCTTCTCTGATCCGGATCCTCTTCCTTCTGCTCCTCCTCCTCCTCCTCCTCCTCCTCCTCGGTCGGTCGGTCGGTCACTACTGGATGAATCTGGATCCCAGTCCTAAATAAGACTTGAAGCGGCAGTAGCGAGAAAACGGTGAGGCAGCGATCGCGGCAGCGGGCAAGCCTCAACGGGTGAAACAAATTTGCCACACAGATCCCAACACCAGAGACCTGATAGATGGGGTCCGAGCAAATGGTGTCGGAGGATTGCACCAGATCGCCGATGTATCGCCGATGCTTCGGCGATGCATCGACGATGCATCGGTGACGCCGGCGACGCATCGGCGACGTCGGCGTGGCAACATCGGGCTCCACATCGAGCCGCATCGCCGATGAATCGGCGATGCGGTGAGATCCTCCGACCCTATCTACTCGGACCCCATCTGGGAGGCCTTGACCAACACATCATCCCATAACAGCGCGTGGTGCCATTGAAAACCCCAGTTCTGCGCAGGAGTCGGTTGGCCTGCAATTGATAGCGAAATCCTAGCGAGCCAGAACGGGAAGAAGGAAAGCACCCACGCAAGGTTCCAAGCGCGGCGTTCATGGGCCATCCTTCTCCGGGCTACTGAAACCTCACTCAGACGTGGAAACACAAAGCATACCTTCGCACCGGTACTGCAAGCTATAGTGCCACGCGCACGATGGCGCCCCATCAAAAAATGTCATCGCTATTCAGCGAGACTTTCGGTGCTGCGCAGACCGTAGCATGGTTCCAACAATCAAACCAAACCATTCCTTGAGAGGGCTGCGAAGGGAGATGGTGCGGCGAACATCGTGAGGCTTGCTGGGTAGGGGAGGGCGTACCGTTTGAGCGGAGTATTGAAGTTTCGATCCAAAGGGACAAAGTAAGACAACATTTCTTCACAAAGTAAGACGGGTGGCGGTCCTGGGTCCACACCACACTGCGTTTGGAGCGCAATATAGAAAGTATGCGCCAGATGGCGGCAGAGCTCCGAAGGATATGCTTTTGCTACAATGTCCCAAGTCCCCGGACCGTCTCGGCCTGTCAGGACGTGTAAGTGAGCGCGGTGCCGACACCTCCCATGATAAAGTGTCTCGCAACAACTGCCCCATCACAGGAACATGAATGGCCGTAAGCGAAATGGATTTCTTGGCACGTGGACCAAACACACTTCGGTCAACCGTATGAACAAACACACACACACACCCACACGCGCACACACGCACCAGGTTTCAGGGCCAACCGTCAGAGCAGGATGCTCCATTACTCCTGGGATACCTAGCTGGCACGCCAAGATAAGAAACAATGTGATGGTGCACATAGGCGAGCTGCATCCAACTGGCCCCATGCTTTGTTTTTGAAAACTCCCAGCGGCTACACGCAAGAATGACCCTGGGGAAGGGTGCCCTTTGGTGCGCGGTTCTTCGGGGGCCACGGGGGGGCAAAACACAAGCGCGCAAGACGCCGCTGCCGCCTCGTCTTCGGCGATCGAGTGACCCCAGCGGGCCCGCGCCAAAGGTCACTCAGGCGAAGGGTCACTCTTACGCGTAGTCGGCCGCAACCCCTGCAAAAGCTCAGGTGATCTCAGCAGGCGAGCACGGAGCCCTGCCTGGTGGTCGTCAGTTGTGACGACGTGGCGAACACTCCACGTATCGCGGGGGGGGGGGAGCTATAACGCCGCACGTCTCCCCCATGGGCCTCAACCGATGTTCAACAATCAGATGGTTGGGCAAGTCCCCGTACGTGGGGCAGCGTGCGATGCCAATTCAAATGCTTACCTACCAACAAAAGGACCCCCAGCCTTGCGGGAGGGGACCTGAGCTACTGGGGCACAAAAAAAAGTTGCTCCTCCCGATTATCTTAAGGACCCCGGGTGCCCCAGGAGCGCGCTGGGCTTCGGACGGCGCGCAGCCGCCGCCCTCCCATGGCAAACGGCCCACCGGATCGTAAGCCCACAGCGGAGCACTTCCTCGGAGCGAGAGGTCGGGCAAGACGAGACGAGCCTTGCTCAAAACAGAAGCGTGAGCCGCCAGCGCCGTTGAGTCAGGCGCGAGTCCTCCTGGCCCTCGCCCGACAGGCTCCCGCGCGCAGGCAACTGCCTTGTAGCGCCGAATGAGCACGCGGAACCGCATGTCAAACAACTCTTCCACATCCGCCCAAAAGCGGAGACGGACAAAGTGATGAACGCGCAGGAACGCACCACACACGCAGGCGTACAACAGCGAAACATCAGGAGGGAGGGGGTGGAGAAGAATCACAGTTGGAATCCGCGGGATCATCACAGGAGCAATCGCTAAAAGAGAACCCATCCATCTGACACATTACTCGCTGAAGCGACGGCAGAACTTGCAACGGCGAAGATCATCATAGTCCCTGGACAGGTCGAACCCATGCGCATAATAAGAACACCAAAAGGATACAACCACGAGGAGCAGAATGAAATCGAGTACTTTTGCGGACACCACGAGTACGCATCCGAATAGACCTCATAATAAGATGAGACGAAGACGATGACGAGTGGCAGCAATTTTGACGGATAAGGTGAGAGAAACCAGCCCCAGGGAATTCAGGCAACCAGATACGCAACCGAAATAGCAGTCCCCCGAAGGCAAGCGGACCAGGGAGAGGACGAGCATGGAGATAAACATAGAAGTTCACGCTGGAATACGTCTGGCCTAACCATCGCAAGGTCAACGACGCCTTGCGTAAACTGCGTGGTCTGGAATAGATCTGGCAGAAAAGACTTATGATACCATCCCTGCGGCATCTCAGATTGCATTACACTGGGACACATAACCTTGAACGTAGCAAACGTGGTAGCATAATCTGGCGGGAGAACTCGAAGCTGCGAGCACCCAGCAAAGAACTTGGCGAGTGGTAAAACCCACGCCTTGCCAGCAGCAGTGGGGCCAATGTGCGCCCCAAGATATTTGATGTCTGTGCAATGTTTGACCAGCTCCAACCCTCCCTGCTCCTGCCTCAAATGCTGCCGAACCCGCCCATTCTCCATTCTCCCACAAAGACCAAAGCCGCACGTGTTGAAATTGAAAGCCAACCCAATCGCCACACTTCGGCGCAAAAGTAAACGCCACACTGCAGGCAACGCTTGACAGACACCCACCATCCCAACGAAACAGTCATCGGCAGACGAAAGACAAAGAGAGATTAGCCGTGGAAAAAAAAACTGCGTCCAGCGTGGCACAGGATCGACACATAGCACAAATAGCGCCATGGAGCTCGGACCTCCCTGTCGAACTCCCCTACCCCTCCCCCCGAGCGTAATGACACAACGATAGTCTGCGTAGAGCACGCGATACAAGTTCTGAATACGTTGAGGGATGCCCATCGCAGGCAGCACGGCGTGAAGCCACACATGGAGGATAGAGGGAAAGACAGCAGGAAAATCCGTAGAGAGGAGACAGGCCACAACCATGGCCAAGCGGGTGCTGTTGCGGCCCCCACTCTTCCACCTGCAACGCATTCGCGAGCATCTGCCAACTCTTGACACATTTCTGCAACGGGGCAACCGTGCTGCGAGAAAGCTGGTTAATCGGCGTACAACAAAGAATAAAGATAAACTTGGCATCCGCGTTGACCATAGACAGTGGGCGCGTGCAAAAGCAATATCCAACGATGTTTCCTGCCGAGCCCCCATCCCGCTCCCCTTTCGGTACGAAGACCATCCGCAACTCCCCCATATCAGGCGCCAGTGGGCCCATGCGACCACGCACCACGGCGAGGTAAACGAAGTAAAGGTACCGTGAAGCATCCCCGGCACGCCAACAAAAGTACGGTATCCAATCGGGCCCTGGCATCGAGTTACGACACGATCGAATAAGTGGATGAAACTCAGCATACCCAACCTCCCACGTAATCGTTTCATGTTCGTCAAGGCCCCCAGGAATGACACGGACGTGAGCGAGAAGTTCATTCCAATGAGTACGGTCATCAGGAACGGCCGAGAACACCCTCCCCAGTACCTGGCTACGCAGGCTGCAGACGCTTCTAACGAGGCACATGGGCGGCCGTGCTCGTCCAGCACGGCAGACAGGTACCATCGTCGCTAAAACTTTCTCCAGAGCACCTGCTTGCGGCGCAGCTTGCGAAGAGCATGTGCCTGCACCTCCTCCTGCATGTGTTGGTCATTCGTCACCTCCCCCTCTTCCTCATTCAACAAGCCAACGTGTAAATCTTGCGTGTGCGGACAAAGTCCCAGGAGGTCAGAGCAAACCAAAGTCTCAACCTCAAAGAATTGCTGCGGTGGTGGATGCGAGCCGACGGCGCGACAGACGAAATGATCCTGCTGAGCTCTTAAAGCTCAGATTGCGGTCATACGCCAATGATGTTGCTCTGCCTTCTTCTCCGCCACTTTCTCAGCAAGCTGCCTGCGAACACTGGGGACAATAACATGAGTTATACTCTTAGTCAGAGCGAGGTCATCCGTCGCCTCCATGGCACCAAGCTCATCCGCACGATCCACAAGGGTTCGTTCGATAGGTTGTAAGTTTCACTCTTACTCAGCCAGCTCGGGATGCGAGGAGCGTCGGAATACGAGGGGCGACACGTAGAAATCTGCACAAGTGAAAGGATGGAGTCCGAATTCCCAGAGCCGCAGAGCTTACCAACAATAGAGGCCTTGATGGTGAGATCGGCAACGATCGCGGTAGGGAACGATGAGTAGATCCTATCGGGCCGAGTATACAATACTCCCATCACGAAGCTCGCGGCGGGTATCTTCAGCCTGGAAAACTCGATCCAGCGACCACAATTCAGACCGAAGGCTTCATTAAACCGAACACCCCCATGAGACGACCCGCCCCCGTCAGGCATTATGCGGCATTCGTTTTCCAGAGGAAAGCTCCAACACCCGAGGGTAATCAACAAGCACTGTTCACCAGGTGGGAGCGCATCTAGGATATCATCTAAGGAGTTGGCGTTTGTGTTCAGCGATTCGCAAGTGATAGGCATACCGGCGTTCATGATGACAAGATCCCCTTGCCTCCCCAGAAGAAGACTAGGCAACATTCTCCCTTCTGGGATAGCATGGTGGGAAATTCTACCACATTGGCAAGCAAGATCAGGCGAAATGTAAGTGCGGACACCCCCCGCACGGGCAGTGACCTGAAATATCGTGCCACCAACATTGCAACCACGAAGCTAATTCTGCAACATGAGCACATTGGCTTGCGACCCATGTGCCTCTTGGGTGCATACCATCTGATACTTCCGACACACACTCTTGAACGAGCGAAATCTGCTGGCAGCCGTCTACTGCCTTCAAGTGCTCACAGCTGCAAAAAAGGCCGCGAGCATTCCACGTCACGGCGCCAAGAGGGGAGGAGGGGAACAAAGGCTGCTGGTGCTCTGCAGAGGACGGGGGCCAACTGGGAGGCGGGCAAGGCTGGGCGATCGGACAATCGGCCAACACAAATGGGGCGGACGAAGACACAGGAGAGGGCTGGATCCTGCACGCCACCTCATCATTAAGGCCAAAAACAATATTAGTGGTAGGGGTATTTTCTCAGATATATCAGACAACACCGTCCCTAATGACGATCCCTAATGCAAAGACGGGGACCTTAGTGAGGGCACGTCATCACTCTGCTATTCAGGTTAGTGGTTCTTTAGCTCTCGATGAGCAAAGAAGGGCGATTGACATGGGGTATTGTTCAGTCAGCTTCTCCACCCAGAGCTGCACCTCCCCTTCCCGACGCTGTGCCGAGAAGAGATGCGGGGCCGCGAACACAGAAGGCGGGGGTATGGTCGGCGTATGGTCGGCTCCACGACAGGCAACTCCTCCGCCCAAATCTTCCTCTCCACGACGGGGCCCAATAATTCTCGACACTGAGCGGCGTGCGAAATCGCCCGTCCGACCCTTGCCGCGGCTGCTGCTTTGCTCGACACGCTTGGACTGCCTGGCCTCCAGGACTTCCTGTTGGGTAGGAGCAGCCCCAAGGCCACCAGACCTTAGTGGGCCCTGGAAACGACAGGGCCGTTTTTTTACCAGTTCTGTTTTGCCGTTTTTTTGCCGGTTCCAACGCCGTTTTTTTACCGGTTCCGTCGCCGTTTGTTGACCGGTTCCGGCTCCGGCTCCAATCCTGGAGCCGTTTGTTTGCCGTTTCTGGTCGCCTTTTTTTGCCGTTTCCACTTTCAAGGGACATTTTTGGGGGAAACGGTGGAAAAACGGCCCTGCCGTTTCCGGGGCCCACAAAGCACCAGACCCCGAAAACATGCTGTGGCCCTCGAGGTGCTTATACAACCTCTACCTTTCGTATGAACAGCCCAACCGCAAATCTGACAACGCGTGCCCGTTGCCATCATCGATGGTGCGAGGGCTTGGGGGTGCTGCTTGCCCCCCGTGTGCACGCAAGGCGCGAGCACTCTTCAAGGTCCTGCTTCCTCCTCCTCCTCCTGCTCCTCCTCCACTTCCTCATCCTACCGCTCTACAGGCAGCTCCTCTTCCTCCTCCTTCTCGTCCTCCTCCTTCTCCTCCTGCTCCTCCTCCTGCTCCTCCTCGTCCTCCTCCTTTTCCTCCTCGTCCTCCTCCTCCTCTTCGTCCTGGTCATCCTCCTGCTCCTCTTCCTCCTCCTCCTCCTCCTCCTCCTCCTCCTCCTCCTCCGCCTCCTCGCGTCCGCCGAGGAGTCAGGCGGGAAGAGGGAGTCCTCGAACTGCGCGGCGGGCCCCCTGGAGCGGTTCCCGCCCGCCGCGCCCGCGGCGGGCTGGGCCTCCCCGGAGGCCGGGCACCTCTTGCAGAAGGGCGCGCTGCCTTCGGCGGGGGCGCCCTTCGTAGGGCGACGAAATCTATACATATCCACTGCTCCCTGGCCAGGCCCATCCTCAACCCCGCAGCGGTGGATACGCCACGCCCTCCTGGCTTGGCCAGGAGGGCGCATACACAGCTCCTGGGTTCGAGATGGGCATGGTCAGGGAGCAGTGGATATGTATAGATTTCGTCGCCCGACCTTCGGGTTCGCGTTGTAGTAGTGCACGCCTTGCCCGGATCTCCGACGCATCTGGCTCGGCGGTGGACAAACCTCCCTTTAGTAGACCTCCCCTTAGTGACAACGGCCTGGGGCCGAAACCGACGGACCTGGACCGGCAAACATGACGGCCGCGACGCCTTCTCGCGAACCGAAAACGGCCAATTCCTCAATCGACGTGTCAGGGTAGGTGGTCTATCCACCTCCGACTGGCTTCCAGGTCCGTGCGGATTTCTTAGATCGGCGCTGGAGACCCCTGGCGGCGCCTCTGGCGCCGCCCCTGGCGCGCTCCACGCGCCAAAGAAGGGGGTCCAACGCCGTTCCGAGAAATCCGCGCGGACCTTCGAGTTGTTATGTGTATATATGGCATTGTTTGTTTCCATATTCCAGAATTTCACGCCGTTCGGAGGAAGCAGGTAAAAGCATGAAGCAGGAGGGCCGAAATCAAGCAGATATGGGTTCGGGCCCTCCAGATAAGAACAACTCACAGCAAGAACATACCGATCTGGGAATCCAGAAATGCCTACTTTCAACAACCGGCGTGTCCTCCAGATTTCGTAATAAAAGGGAGGGGGTCTGGACCCTCCAAGACGAGAAGTTTTAGACCCCCCCCGTAGGAGAACCCTCCAAAACATCGTCCCCAGAACCCCCCAGGCCCTCCAGGATAGCCTGGAAGAGACCCCCCCCGAAATGAGACCCCCCTCCCCTTATTACGAAATCTGGAGTACCCTGTCGAAGGACCCAGCCAATTTCAGTTGTGAGCACCGCGTTGTGGCACCGCGGTCGGTGGAGCCTCCCAGGGGGCCACGAGACGTGTGAGGGGTGTGCCGAAAGGGACGGGGGAGGCCGCCGGCGGAGCTCTCCCAACGGGGCCACGCAACGTGTGCGGGGTGGGCCGACGTGGGCGGGGAACCGCATGCAAACCCTGCCATTGGGGCCTCTGGTGTAGCCGTTCCACCGAAGGCCCCAGTGGCTGGGTTCGCTTGCGGTTCCCTGCCCATTTCGGCACACCGCGCACACGTCTCGTGGCCCCATCAGCTCCACCGAAGGCCTCAGTTGCAAGCTTCGCATGCGGTTCCCCGCTCAATGTGCAGCCCCCAATGGGGCCACGAAACGTGTGAGGGGTGTGCCAGACTGGGAGGGGAACCGCATGCGAACTCTGCCATTGGGGCCTTCGGTGGAGCTCCCTGTGGGCCACGACACGCGTGAGGGGTGTGCCGAAACTGGGGCCCTCGGCGGAGCTCCAAATGGAGCCGCGATGCGTGTGAGGGGTGCGCCAGTATGAGCGGGGAACCGCATGCGACGCCTGCAACTGAGGCCTTCGGTGGAGCTTATGGGGCCACGAGACGTGTGCGCGGTGTGCCGAAATGGGCAAGGAACCGCATGCGAACCCAGCCACTGGGGCCTTCGGTGGAACGCCCTAAGGGGCCATCACACGTGTGAGGAGTGTGCCGAAATGGGTGGGGAACCGCATGCGAATCCCGCCATTGGGGCCTTCGGCGGAGCTCAAAATGCTGCCACGACACGTGTGTGTTTGTGTGTATGTGTGTGTTTTGTGTGTATGTGTGTGTGTGTGTGTGTGCGTGTGCGTGTGTGCGTGTGCGTATGTGTATACGTGTGTGTGTATGTGTGTATACGTGTGTGTATGTGTGAGAGAGAATGTGTTTGTGTGTGTGGCGAAATGCGCGGGGAACCGCATGCGAACCCTGCAACCGAGACCTTCGGTGGAGCTCCCCATGGGGCCACGAAACGTGTGAGGGCTGTGCCAGAGTGGGCGGGGAACCGAACGCGAACCCTGCCACTCAGGCCTTCAATGGAGCTCCCTATGAGCCTATGTGGCCACGAAACGTGTGAGGGGTGTATCGGAAAGGGCGGGGAACCGCATGCGAGCCCTGCCACTGGGGCTTTTTATGTAGCCCCCCATGGGGCCACGAAGCGTGTACGGGGTGTGCCGACATGAACGTGCGGAGGGCAGAGGCAAGGATGGGAGTGGGAGGAGGAAGCGGGATGGGGGAGCTGGAAGGGACGCGGGGCGCTGTGTCTCTTCAAAACGAAGACCCCACACCACCTGGTGGCTGGGGAAAAACACGTCGTCGGATGTCTGGGTTGGCTGGGAGGGGAAAACAAATCTTACGCGGGTCTCATGCGTTTTCGTCGGCTCTGGGGGTCCAGCGCGACCTCTCTGGGAGCGGCGGCCTTCCTGAGGCGGCGTGCCTTTTCGTCGTTGGCAGGCCTCTCAGGATCGTTCGCCTTCAAAAGCGCCGGAAGGACTACGAAGCCTCCAAGAGCGACGACGAGGAGCAGGTCTCACGCGGGGTGCCCTGGCGACCTCACGCGGCGGCCTTTGCGCGGGCCGCCCGCACGGTGCACCACGCTGGAACCGCGGGCGTTTACACGCGCGCGGGGCCTCACGCGGGGCAGCGTGCGCGCCAGTGTCGGTGCAGACGACGACCCCATTTTGGGTCTGCGCCCCCTCACATGCTAAGCAGGGGCCGACCGTCCCGGTAGTCCTCTTGGCCTACCACGAACTGTTCTCAGAACCCCAAAAAAGGTTCTGAGAACAAAGAAGCAGTGCTCTTAGAACACACATTCCCGATGCGTTAAGACAAGACGGTCCCAGCCAGAAAGGTTCTAAGACGATTTCCTGGGAGCCACACAGGGTTCTTGGAACATTGCTTGGTTGGGCTTTCGGCGAGCCAGGATGCTTCGCCACTGCTTGACAGTGCTGGCAGGCAGCCGGAACCACAGATGGCCTGACTCACGCGTGGAGTTTCCTCTGGAGTCCCCGCGCCAGATACACCTCGCGGGCGCCCGGTGGGCACGGCCACCGAAGGGCCCAGCGCTGGAAGCGTCTGGGAGCACACAGACGCACACACACACACATACAAACAACAGCGTCCTGCTGGCCTCCAGCTTGCGCGGGGTTAGGACGAGAGCAGTGTCAAGATAAGTCTGGTTCAGGATGCGGTCGAGGACCTCCAGGGTGCCTGGCAGCCCTCGTGTCTGGAGCCCCATGTAGAACTTGTGGGGGGATGGGAAGTCCTGGAAGTCTTGGAAATGCTGGAGGGTATCATTATCATGACCTTTTGCTTCTCTGAGGGTTGGCTGGGGCGTCCGCCTGGAGGCAGTAGGTGCGACGGGCTTCTTTGAGCACGCTCGGCCTGGGTACGGCGCGTAGACTACCAAAAGGTACCGGTACCAGGACTCCTCGGAACTGTACTGGGGTGCGTTCTGACCAGACTTTCGAAGAGAATCCAACGGTGGCGACTAGGGCCTCCGAGGAGGCCCAAAAAGGAGAAAACGGGCGGAGGGTCGCGGTATGGGTACCTCGTCCTTCTCTGATACCCAGCGGGCGGCACTCACCGCAGTTGCCAGCGCGCTGGGCTTGGCCGGGGACCCGGCCGACATGGCCACTGGCCCCCGCTTCGTCAGCAAGGGGAGCGGCTGCCATCAACGAAGAGGCTGCTGCCGGACTGGGCGCACGCAGTGCTCTTGGAGCGCCTTACCCCGCACTGCCGCGCTGGCGCTTTGCTCGCGCGCGCGGTGCCTCAGCACCCCTGGGCGCCGAGGCGGCGGGGGCCTCTGCAGGGAGACCACGCCGGCAGCGAGGCCGCGGACCGCCTTGCCCGGGGGGGGGCGGCCAGGCACCGCTCGCCGCCCCCCCTCGGGGGCGCGGGCCAGACGCGCTGGCCGCTGCGCAGCTGGCCACGGCAGCCGTGGAGCCAACCGTGCGCCAGCCTCCAGCGACGGCGCCCCCGCGCGCGCGTGCACGCGCTGAGCGGGCCCCGAGCCTCCGGCGAGGGGCGCCGCGGGGGCGGCGACGCAGTGGCGGCCGCCGCCGCCGGGGGCGGCCGCTGCCAGGGGCTCCCTTCGCGGGTACCGCGCGGCGGGCCGACGTGGCGTCCCTGGGACCAGCTTCGGGGTCTCCTGCCTCTGGTGCGAGTGCTGGGCGCCAACCTCCCTGAGAGGCGACGGCGCGAACGTAAGCAAGGGCGCAGTGGAGTGCACCAAGCGCACCTTCCTCGTCCCTCTCCTCCCCCCCTGCTCCTCTCGCTGCTGCGGGGCGCCTCCTGGATGGTTCGAAAGGCGTACAGTAGGGGCCCGACCACAAGAAACCTTCCACAAGAAACCCAACCCTGAGACCTCCAGACGTCCGTCGAGTTTTGGTGGTCGCGTCACGCTTTCCGTGGCAAAACCGTCGAAGCCCAAGAAACCCAGGGCACCCTGGAGGTACCTCCTGCTCCCGCCCCGGCTGGCCGCGTCATGTGCATCCAGCTTCCTGGCAATCGGCCTCGGATCCAAAAGAAATGCGACAATCGTGGGGATGTGCCCTCAGAAGCTTGGGGGGGGTCCTCAGCAGCTGGGGGGGGTCCTTGAGGCCAGCCGGCACCGAGATACGGTGACATCCAATCACGGGAACGGGGGCGTGCATGTGCCTCAGGCTGGCGCATCGCCACCAGGCCTCCGCAAGCCCACTTCGGGCCCATGGCGGCGACGGGCCGCGCAGGGGGCTGAAAATGGTGGACAAGCACTCCGAGTTTTTCTTGGTCGAGATGCCCCCCTTCGAAATTCGGAATCGAGCTTCGGACCCCTCCTGGGTTGCGCTCTGGCCAGGACCTCTGGCCAAACCCACCCGTGGCGACGCGACCGCACCAGGAGCCCCGAGGAGGCCCAGAAACCCACGAAGGCCTCGACCCTCCGAAACCGCCTCACAGGTTTGTTCCAGTCCAACCTGCAAATAATGCGGGATGACGATTTATACAAAAATGGGAGAGAACTATTAAAAACATAGTTTTCTGCTATTTCTTCACAATTATTGTCTGACTGGAGGAGAACGCTTAACAAAAATAGGTTTCCAGCCCGCGGCCGGTTTGTTCTAATCGTCATCCCGGGCGCCGCCGCGTGAACACGACCCCCGGTCATTCATTAATCGCCATCCTCCATTAAGGATGCGCGAAAAGCATGCAAGTGTTCCCTGGACGTCGATGACGAAGCTTCTCGAGCGGGGCTCGCCATGGAAAACAGGCAAGGATGGAACGCGACGGCAAGGACGCAAGGGTACCATTGGACAGTTTGCCCAGCCTTATCATCGGTTTCGACTGCATGATGGCCCCCCCGACGCCTCCGTACACAAAGCACCCAGCCGGCTCGCTGGCCGAGTCCACGGACACTGGGCCAGCGCCCCGCCCAGCCGCACCCTCACCGTGGCACTCCGAGAGCGTGGCCATGATTGCCCCGCCCGGGCACGCGTTGCTGCCCGCCTTTCGTTGGGGACGGTGCCGAACACGACCCCCTCGCCGACGTGAAGAAGTGGCGGCGGCTTTTTGGGTCTGGTGCTGCTGCGACTCTCGGGCTCTAGGGGGCCCTCACCAAGCCCCAGGGACGTCAAAGTCGACTCGGAGATGAGGAACAGATCCCGGGAACTGGGTCGAGACCTCCAGAGGTCCACGGCAACAAAAAACCGTGCCGTGTGGGCCTGGGGAGGAAGGGGGGGGGTCACCACCACTGGACTTCCCAGGAGCTGGTCCGAGCTTCGAGGCCTCTGAGCGTCTTTGGGCTCTGGGGCGCCCTCGAGGCTACGGCTGGATCCACCTCGAAAGCGTGTCCTGAACGCTCTTACATCCGGCTGCTCAGCAGAATTCAACTCGCCATCGCTCGGACGCCCGTTCCCCGTGCATTGTTTGGTCTCGTGCGTGTTTTTGGGCTCGATGATCCAGGAAGCTCCTCGATGGTTCTCGCCGGCACAACATGCACACGTCCGGGCGATGCCAAGTCAAACCAGTCTCGGGCCCCAGGGCGAGCGAAACACTGCCCAGGGGAAGAAGGTGGCCGAGGGGAGACGGCCAAGATGTACAGGGGGCCATACCTCGGCAAAGGTCGAACCGCTGTGTGTATGGGTCCTCCCCCTAAGGCTCAGGATCGAGGATCGAGAAGGAGGCAGGCTCTGGGAGGCTCTTTGACGTTCTTGGGTTCTTCTGCTCGGCCCTCCTGCTCATGAGCAGGAGATGGCGACACCCCTGGCGGCGGGAGAGCCCAGAATCGAATCGATAAGTCGCATCGGCGATCGACGTGGGTCGGATCGGCGGAGATCGGCAGCCGAGTCGCAAGGAGCCGCATCGGCGGAAAAATCGGCAGGCTCGTTGGCCTCCATTGGAGAAGCCGGGATCCGAGTCGGAATCCGAACTCGAATCGCCTCGGAATCGGAAGCCACCGAAATCGAACCGAGTCGAATCGGAGGAGTCGAGGTGATGCCCCCTGCCGGTGGCCCCCCTGGCTCTGCCCGGTGCCTTCCCGGCGATGAAGTCGCACTCCTGCGGGGGGCGGCGCGGGCCAGAGGAGGGCCCCGACCAGCGACGCCGTTGCTTGCACCACGCGCGGGTACCCGGGGGACCGAGTTCCGTTAGAACGAAGCCAGGACGAGGATAACACCAGGGAAAGAGGAATCGAGGAATCTCTGCAGAGAGCAGAGAATCCAGCCTCCTCATAGGCACCCCGACAGACGAAGCCATTCAGTAAACGCACCCTGGGAAGGAATCGAACAGGGCAGGGCTGGTCAGTCACTACACAGGGCCGTTCAACGCCGATGATCGGGAATAAGGTGGTCTGTCATCCCTTGACTCTGAGATCCGGCGGCTCTGGAGAGTGTCTCGGGCACCGCGGCCTTCTCGGAGCGTCCTGGGAGCTCTGAGAGCGCTCCGGAGGGCTCTGGAACGGACTCTTCCTCGTCCTCGCCCCGTGCGAAGATGACGCCTAGGAGCAAAGAGAGCCGGCACGACCACTGCCATCGCGAGGAGCCAGGAGGGGTAATTAGCCCCGGTGGTGTGGTCCCCCTGCTCTGCGACGGCCCGCTCGACCAAAGATCCTCCGATTCCGAGCCTCCTCGGGGGGGGGGGGGGCCCGCGGGTGGTGTCGGGGGTGGACAGAGACCCCCAACAGTGACACGTCGATCAGTGAGTTGTCCGTTTTCGGTGCTCGAGAGGGCGCCGTGGCCGTTATTTTCCAGGCTTGCGCCCGCCAGGTTTGGGCCTCAGGTCGTTTTAGAATCCCTTGCAAAAAATAAGGTAAAGTGGACATTCGCGCGCGCAAGACGAAATCCTTCCAAAACCTTAGTTTTCGTAGCGAGTTTTTAATAAAAACATCAAAAAAACCAATGGTTTTTTCAAACAAAAAAATGTCAAAAGGGAGGTCTGTCCATCCCCGATGGTGGTGGCGTCGCTCCCCCTCCTCGTCCCTCCGGAAGGTCCGCCCGCATCCAAAGACACGACTCGGGGACTCGGGGCGGACGCAAGAGGGGGATAGCACAAGGGGGGGAGGGGGGGTGGGTGGGGTGGGGGGCGAATCAGCTGCATGCAGCTGGTCTTCCCTGTGCCCCCCGACGTAGGATGCGGCCGCGTATCGAGGAGAGGGCCTGGCGGCAGGGCCGAAACCAACTGCACGCAACAAATTGCGTAGACCCCCTCCCCTAGAGGAGGAGGAGGAGGAGGAGGAGGAGGAGGAGGAGGAGGAGAAGGAGGAGGAGGAGGAGGAGGAGGAGGAGGATCCTCCCCCGACCTCCCCCCCCGCTCGGCATGGAGGAAGCGGGTCCCCGGGAAGCGGGTGCTGGACCCCCGGGGGGCTCCCCCCTAGGATCCAAGCCAGTTCATCGCAAATCGTCACTCGTCGCCCGCCGGTCCAGGGGCCTGTCCTCGTCCTCCTCCTCCTCCTCCTCCTCCTCCTCCTCCTCCTCCTCCCCCTCCTCCTCCCTCCTCCTCCTCCTCCTCCTCCTCCCCCTCCTCCTCCTCCTCCTCCTCCTCCTCCTCCTCCTCCTCCTCCTCATCCTCCTCCTCCTCAGGGGCCTGTGGAGGGCCCTGGGAGCCCGGCGCCTGTGAGAAACCTCCGGGGGCAGCTTCCATCAGGACCCCCTTCTCTTCGATGGTTTTGGGACGAAAATTTGAAATACTAAAAAAATACTCAAAATATGCCCAACAAATTTTCAAAAACTATTTCCCAGAGTATTTTGGGACAGACCCGACTTAACCAGGGGGGGTACGGGTTCCACGTGTTTGTTCAACGTCCCCCGACCCCCCCACTGGAAATGGAAGGCAACTTGAGGGCTTCGGGTTGGGTTGGGGTGGTTTGGTGGGTGGTGACCTTGCATCCATAGGGAGCCCGCCCGACCCAGGCATCGGCGGCGGCAGCAAGGGCGGACTGTCCGCGTGGAAGCATCACATTATTTTCTGTCGTTCGCAATTTTCTGTTTCGCTCCCTTCTGCCTGTGGAGGCATCAAAATGAAGACCCAGGGGCTCCGACCGCCCGTGTTGTCCCTCGATGGGGCCGCTGGGCGAATGCGTGCAAGGCCCGCCCCTCGTTGGGCGCCCGCTGGCAAGGATCATCGGCGGCGAGCGAGGGGGGGAACTGAGAAAGAGAAGGCCTTCTCAGAAGGCGGCGGGACTTCTCAGAAGCCCTCCCGCCTTCTGAGAAGTTGTGTCTTCGGGGAAGGCTCCAAAAACTTCTCGAAGGCCCAGGGACTTCCGAACCTCTTGAGAAGGCCCGCGCCTTCTCGCTTTCCCCCTCGTTCGCCGCCCAGATCAAGGATCCGTAGATGTGGCGAGTGAGGCCAGTGCCACCTGCTTTGGCGAAGGAGCGCGCCGATGTCGCATGGAAGCAGGACCCGTCGCTGATCCACGCGCCGCGATCCATGCTTGCGCTCCCTCGACCTGGACAATCCACCCGTTCTTGAATCACCGTGGGGGGGGGGTAGAGTTGGAGGCCAAGGTGGCTTATAGATGGCCAGACATAACTTACTACAGGGTTAGACCTGCCCTACGTGGCAAAAGGGGGGAGGATCCCGGCCAAGTGCCGCCCACTCGGCGGAGTCAGCCAGCCCATAACATACCACTCAGGGCACGTGTACCCCACTGATGCGCGATGTTGGGGCAGACAGCACCCGCCTCAGCATTCACCTTCAGCCCCCTAATTACCCGCTCACAACCCGCCCCGGCGATCCGACTAGGCTGCCTCCATCCGAGGAGCAGGGAGGAGGAGGAGGAGGAGAAGGAGGAGGAGCAGGGAGGAGAGGAGGAGGAGGAGGAGGAGAAGCAGGGAGGAGGAGGAGGAGGAGGAGGAGGAGGAGGAGGAGGAGGGAGGAGGAGGAGGAGCAGGGAGGAGGAAGAGGGGGAGGAGGAGGAGGAGGGCCGCCAGCACACTGCACCACGAGCGCGGCGCCCGAGGTCCGGGGAGGCCGCGGAGGCGGCGGCGGCCGCGAGCAGCCGCGCGCGCCAGGACGCCCGTGCCGCCATTGCCCCCCGCGCGCGGTGGGCAACAGGGCCGCGCCGTGCCCGGCGCCCCGTGCCCGTGCCCGCGCGCGCGCCCCTTCCTGCGGCCCGGCGCGGGGAGGAGGAGGGCTGGAGGAAGAAGAGGGAGGGCGGGGAAGGGGGAGGAGGAGGAGGAGGAGGCGGAGGAGGAGGAGGAGGAGGGGGAGGAGGAGGAGGAGGAGGAGGGGAGGAGGAGGAGGAGGAGGAGGAGGAGGGGAGGAGGAGGAGGAGGAGGAGGAGGAGGGAGGAGGAGGAGGAGGAGAGGAGGAGAGGAGGAGGGAGGAGGAGGAGGAGGAGGAGGAGGAGGAGGGGGAGGAGGAGGAGGAGGAGGAGGAGGAGGAGGAGGGAGAGAGGAGGAGGAGGAGGAGGAGGGCGGAGGAGGAGGAGGAGGAGGAGGAGGCGGAGGGAGGAGAAGGAGGAGGCGGAGGAGGAGGAGGAGGAGGAGGAGGAGGAGGAGGAGGAGGCGGAGGAGGAGGGGGAGGAGGAGGAGGAGGAGGGGGAGGGGAGAGGAGGAGGAGGAGAGGAGGAGGAGGAGGAAGGAGGAGGAGGAGGAGGAGGAGAGGAGGAAGAGGAGGAGGAGGAGAGGGAGGAGGAGTCATGAAGGAGAGGAGGAGGCGGAGGAGGAGGAGGAGGAGGAGGAGGGGAGCCACGGTCGGGCAGATAAAAAAAAGGACACGGCCCGTCGGTCGGAATGAGCAGAGGGGCGGGGCACGAGGAGAGGGGTGGAAGGCACGGGGTGCCACGGTCCGGCAGGAGGGGGGGGTAGCACGGTAGGCCGGCTGGATGAAGCAGATATAAGCAGATGGCGGGGGCCACGGGGGTCAAGGGTGGGGTCACGGGGGGGCCCGGTCAAGCAGGGGGAGAAGGCACGGTCGGCCTGTCGGAATAAGCTCCAGAGGGGGGGCGCAGTGGGGGGGCAAGGTGGGGGCACGAGGGGAGGAAGAAGAGGGAGGCGGGGAAGGGGGAGGAGGAGGAGGAGGAGGCGGAGGAGGAGGAGGAGGAGGTGGAGGAGGAGGAGGAGGAGGAGGAGGGGGAGGAGGAGGAGGAGGAGGAGGAGGAGGAGGAGGAGGAGGAGGAGGCAGGAGGAGGGGGGAGGAGGAGGAGGAGGAGGAGGAGGAGGAGGAGGAGGGGAGGAGGAGGAGGAGGGGGAGAGGAGGAGGAGGAGGAGGGAGGAGGAGGAGGAGGCGGAGGAGGAGGAGAAGGATGAGGCGGAGGGAGGAGGAGGAGGAGGAGGAGAAGGAGGAGGAGGAGGCGGAGGAGGAGGGGGAGGAGAGGAGGAGGAGGGGGAGGAGGAGGAGGAGGAGGAGGAGGAGGAGGAGGCGGGGAAGGAGGAGGCGGAGGAGGAGGAGGAGGAAGAGGAGGAGGAGGAGGAGGAGGAGTCATGAAGGAGGAGGCGGCGGAGGAGGAGGAGGAGGAGGAGGGGAGAGGAGGAGGAGGAAGAAAAGGAGGAGGAGGAGGAGTCATGAAGGAGGAGTGACGATTCTGGTGACGTTGGATAAGACGCGGGGATGTGAATGATAACGAGGCCTCACGAGGGCGAAGATGTCGGATGACGGCGATTCTGGCGTGGAGTGAAGGGACGAAGGCACAAGCGAATCTGGAAAGATAATGAAGATGGCGAGGGGATGTTATTCGAAAAATGACAGAGATGAGGGTCTGGTTGGAATGATGGTGAAGTGTGGGCAGGCGGACCGCCGCGCGGGGGGAAGGCAATGGAAAACAACAACAACAACGACAAAAAACAACAACAACACCACCAACAACAACAGCAACAATAACAACAACATCAACAACAAAGAGACGATTGGGCTTCTGACTGGAAGCAGGGGGACTAGGGAAGAAGCCCTAACGTCGACCTCGCAAGGGAAGTTCGGTGAGATGGCACGCGACACGCAGGTACAACAATGTCTCACGCCCACTCGGGGCCTGCCAAGTGTGCAGCTGCGGCCATGTTCCTCTGAAAGAAAATAACAGGATAATCCGCCGGCCCCCTTGTGGGGCCACCAGGCTGCGAGGCGCGTGATTCGCAGTTTCCTGTACCAGTTGTAGTTTGTACTTTCCAGTGTTACAGTTCTGCTTCTTGCTGGTTACTGTAACTAGTTGACTTCTTGCTGGTTACTGTAACTAGTTGATTGACCGCGCGAGGGGGGGGGGAGGCCCAAACGGGATTTTTAGCGTCTCCTGGGCGCGTTGTCTGAATTGCTGGGGGGGCTCGAAATCGACACCCCTCACGCAGATCCGCGGGGTCAGGGTCCAAAAACAAATGGGATTTGCCACATTTCTGAAATTCGGCGCCACCCCTCACGCAGATCCGCAGGGTCAGGGTCCAAAAACACAAGGGATTTGGCACATTTCTGAAATTGGGTGCCACCCTTCACGCACATCCATCGCAAGGCGTGGTAACAACGACCCAGGGGCCGAGAAAACAAGAAAACAAGACAACGAACGAAGGTCCGAGAAAACAAGACCACGACCCAGGGGCCGAAAAAACGAGAAAACGAGACCACGAACCAGGGCCAGTGAAAACGAGACCGCGACCCAGGGTCCGAAAACACGAGAAAACAAGAAAACAAACCAGGGGCAGAAACAACGAGAAAACGATCAAAGGAATCAGGGCCCGAGAACACGAGACTACGAACCAGGGGCCGGGAAAACAAGAAAACAAGCAAACGAACCAGGCAAGGGCCGATGTTATTCTCCAGTGCGTTCTCTAGCGCTGCCGTGCGCACCTGTCTGCGGGGATTCCGCCATTTTGCCACAATCCCGGAAGTGAGGGGGGGTAGCATAGGAAGCCCCCCCCCCTTTGCAAAGGAGGGCAGAGGGGGGTAGCTTGAAGCCGCCCCCCCCCCTGTGTCCAGACCAAAACAGGAAGGAAAGGGGGGTGGCTTCCGACCCCCCCCCCCTGGGCTCACCTTCTGCTCCGGAACGGGGAAGGAGGAGGGGGGTAGCTTCTAAGCCCCACCCCCCCGCGTTAGCCAGGGCCCCCCTAGCTTAGAAACCCTTACAGAAGGGAGAGAAGGGGTGGGGTAGCTCCGGAGGCTCCCCCCCCTTTTCGAAGGGTGGGGGGGGGAGCTTGAAGCTGGGGCCCCCCTTTCCTTATTCCCGGCGGTGCGGGCGCGCTCTTTCGGACAATTGTACTGGATGCAAAGACGAACTACTTTCAGAGCGAAGTCGAGACGCCGGTTGCCAACGTTCACTGCCGCCGCACCTTTAAAGGAGAGGCCGGAGAGGCCAAGAGGAAAGGAGGAAGAGCGCAGCGGGGGGCGACGGGCGGCAGAGAAGGCAGTGCAAGGGGTGGCCAGCCAAACATCACACACTTCTTTACTGTCAAGATCCAGCCGCGAATGCGTCGAGCGAGCGCAGGGCATAGATGGTTCTCGGCTGCGTGCTGAACACTGTCTGAGCCCAGAGCACTGCGGCCTCGCCTTCGTAGCTGACGTGACAAACGGGAGCTAACGAGTTCGAGAAACACACAGTGGCGATAATCAGAGCCGCGCTGAACGGCGCGATGGAAGACTTGGGTATGGTGACGCTCAGTGTCATCGGGACGAGCCGTCAGCGCAGTGTGTGGCTGGCGTGGTGCGGCAAGTGCTGCAGGTCGATCGCGACCTGGGGCCGCGCTCCGCTGCCCGCCAAGCCCTTCCCCCCCGCTGCGAACGTCCGCGGCGAGGCGCAGGGAAAAGTGCGACGAGCTTCAAGGCCGCGGGCACCAGCACGTCGCCCAGGCCGAGAAGGATTGACTCGTTCCAAATCCTCGTCTTGCCAAAGTGGCCCGCCATGGCGTCGGCTAGCGGCAGGCCCCGACGATGGAACTGAGGCCCCGCAGCGGGGCTGCTGGTCACAAAGTGGCGCCCGAGCAGCCTGAAGCCCACGATCGGCTTGCGGTGATGCGTGAGGGCGAGGCCGATCCACGCGCTCACGCAGATGCGACCCTCGGCAAGCACTGGGCCTGCCATCGCCAGAGCAGCAAGGCGCGGCAAGGGCAGCCCCTGGCGGCCCGGGGCTCGACGCACCCCCGCCCGGGCACAGCGGCTCGCCCGCGGGAGCTGGATCATCACCTGTTAGCCCGTCGACGGGTAGTGATGGGGCACTGCCGCCAGGAGCCTGCTGGAGCCCGAGTCCAGGCGGCCCCCGAAGTACAGGTAGTTCTGGCTCGCCAGCAGGTGGTGGCACTCCCTCTCCGTCGCCGACCGCGTGCCCGAGGCTGGGCGGCCGGTAGCAGAGGTCGGAACGTGCTGCGCCGCCCCGGCCGGCGCTCGCCCGGCGATAGGTCAGCGGCTCTTCAGCGACTTCACGCCTGTCAAGGGACTCGAGGGAGGCATCGGTCATATGGAGGGAAGTCACAGCCAGCGCCGCCGCGCGGCGCGCTCGCCTGAGCCACCTGGGGGCCGCGAGAGAGAAGGCTGCCAGGGCGCTTCGAGGGCCCGGCGAACCGCCCGAGCTTCCCTCGATAGCCCTTGTCGGACGAATTGCCCTCTGGAGGGCGCCGCCTCGTGGCCAACTGGGCGCCAGTAGCTAGGTGGTGACGCAGAGCTTGCGAAGGGCAGGACGAAGATGAATAGACTCAGCACGACCCTTGCGCAGCCCAAGACATAACGGTACATTGTCCACAATGGGGGCGATGTTGGCCCTAAGATCCACGGAAGAACGCAGTGCATGACGGGCGGCAAGAACAGCGGCGCCACCCTCGAGCCCCAATATTTTGCCTGGGACCCGCACTTGAGAAGCCATAACTGCATCCCACTTGGAGTCTGGAGGCCTCCAAGAGCTCCACGGGGGCAGTCCAGGACACCCCCTCCCATGCTCCTGGCCGCGCTCTGCATCAGGCGTCATCCATCATCCTGCCGGCCGCCTCTCTCCCTTCTCTAACTTTCGGATGTTCTATGAGCAGCGCGTGCCCGCACGAGAGCTCCTTCGAGACCCACTCCGTGAGTCACTCCGTAGTACAGGTGGGCGTCTCCGATGGCATCCTCATTGTGGCCGCTCGGCAGATTGATCTGGTCGTCGCAGGCCATCGGCTCGACGTGCCAGCAGCAGCGCCCGTGCTCCGACGAGCCAGCGTCT